GAGCATTGCAGAAGGTGCCCGTAGTCCCAGTGACTCTGGAGGCTGAGGCTGAAGGATTGCTTGAGCCCAAGGAGTTGGAGGTTGCTGTGAGCTGTGATGCCATGACACTCTACAAAGGATTAATAAGTGAAACTCTGTCTCAAAAAAAAAAAAAATGCTTTTCAACAAATCTCACATTTAGTGCTTCTTTAACTCATATATTAAATATAGAGTTATTGACTAGCATGTCTTTAATATCACTTTTAATGGGAACAAAAGTTTTTTGGTGAGGCATTATGGTTTTCATAATAAATAGAAATGTTATTTCTATAGGATGATGTATTACTATGATATAAATGTTTTGATTTGAAGCATTGATTTAGTAAAGAATAGTTTTCTAAAATGTGTAAAAACGTTTGTTTTATTCAGCTAACACCCCCCCACCCCGATTTTTAAAAAAGAAATCAGTGTGAATCTCACTATATTGAATAAAAAGAAACAAGCTGCTTGGATTAAAATGAGAATGCAGGTTTTTGGTCTCCGTACTTGAATTTCCTTCTCCTCCACCTGTGTTCCTTAAATCACCTCCATAGAATCATGATTTGGGCATTAGTATTTTGGTTGAATTGGAAATTAATCCATTTGCAGCAATCCTTTCTGGAATTCTTTTAATTAACTGTGTGTATTAACTAATACTCTGCCTTAGGTAAGTATCTTTTCTTAGGTGTAATAATAGTTTTTATTCAGCAGGTCCAGATTTGGTAGGAACCTATGTTCTTCTGACCATTGGCTATACAGTACTAAAGATGAGGAGAATTGAGAATGTTGAAATGTTTTTCTATTGACCCTAGAATTGAATTAAAAGACTTCAGTTAAAATGACATTTTTCTTTCAGTACTAACAGATTTTGCATCAATGTGTTTTATCTTGAGTTATTTCTAATGAATCTATTCTGATGTTTCTCTGGATATATATAACATGTTCTTTTTCTCTGCTTGTTATTGGTTTAAGGCAGTTTAGTAATGATGTATGTTGACATAGTTTTCTTGTCTTTTATGTTTGGGTTTGGTGGACATCTTGGATCTGTGGGTTTGTAATTTTAATCAAATTTGGAAGCTCTGGAGCTACTATTTCTTCAAATACTTTTTCTGTCTCTTCCCTCCTTTCAGGGACTTCAACTGTCTATAAAGGTGGTTGCTTGAAGTTGTCCCACATGTCACTGATGCTCTATTTTCTTTCTCAGCCTTTTTTTTTCCTCTCTGTTTTTGTATGGTTTCTATTATTGGGTCTTCAACTTCATTAATCTTTTTCTTTGTGATGTCTAATCTGCAATTAATCCCATCCAGTGTTTTTTTTTTTTTGTTTTGTTTTTTTATAATCACAGACATTGTAGTTTTCATCTCCAGAAGTTTGGTATGGGTTGTCTTAAAATCTCTTTCATGTCTCTACTTAGCATGTTCAGTCTCTCTTTTTTTTTTTTTGGTGGGGGCTGGGTTTGAACCTACTACCTCTGACATATGGGGCCAGCACCCTACTCCTTTGAGCCACAGGCGCTGCCCACATGTTCAGTCTCTTAAGCATATGAAATACACTTGGAATAGTTGTTTTTATGTGAGAGTAGACACAGTCCTGGGCCTGGGTGAGCACTGAGCACTACTTCTGATCCTGGGGACGTTTCTTTCCCTGGCCTTAGTCAGATTCTTCAGAGTATACAGCCAAATACTGGAGGGGATGCCCTATGATCCCTAATGTTAACTCTCTGTGCAGCTCTCTGCTCTGCAGTGGTCTGCTCTGCCAGCTCGAGCAGATTTGGGGGTGTCTGCTGGTCCCTGATGTAAAGATGTGTACCATATAAACTAATTCACAGAGCCATTCCTCATTGACAAGATGACTTTTTTTTTTTGAAACAGAGTCTCATTATGTTGCCCTGCGTAGAGTACTGTGGCGTCACATCTCATAGCAACCTCAAACTTTTAGGCTTAAGTGATTCTCTTGCCTTAGCCTCCCAAGTAGCTGGGACTACAGGCGCCCACCACAATGCCCAGCTATTTTTGTTGTTGTTGTTGCAGTTGTCATTGTTTAGCAGGCCTGGGCCGGGAACCCGCCCGCCTCATGTATGTGGCCAGCACCTTACCCACTGAGCTATGGGAGCAGCCGACAAGATGACTTTTCAAATAGACTTTCTGTCAGAAAAAGCCTGACTTTGCTATAAAAAATAGAAAATGCAAATATTAATATGCAGTTTAATTTTTTAATAAAAATTGCTGAGAAATAAATACTGAAATATGTCTTATAAAAAATTATTAAAATATAACGGATCTAATGTAAGTCAGAAAAATGACCTTATGTGCCTTTTTTTTTTAATTGAATGGTAACTATGTACATTAATGCACTTCTGGGGTACAGTGTGGGGTTTTCACATGCAATCTGAAATATTGCCTGCCTTTGTGTGTCCATCAAACTGGTCAACACAGCCTTCATGTCATTTTCTCAGTATTGTTTTAAAACGTTCACATTCTATATGCCATTTCTTATTACCTAATATTTAAGGTATTGTTTATGTTATTTTGAAATGAGGAATGTGTATGTAGATTTATATTTTGGGAATAACTACATAAGAAATTATGAATATTCAAAAATTACATTAATTTTATTAGGCACCATTTAAATTTCTACTTGCAAATAATGAAAAAGGAAGATGTGTATATTGCTAAAAATTAATTAGTTCAACAACTAGCTTAAACTATTTTTTTAAGTAGGTGGTAGAATATAATCATTTTAAAGTAAGATAAGGATCAACTATAATTAGAATAATTATTTTTTGATAGGGATTTGTTACATTATTGCCTTGAACACTGTACAGGGAACTCCAAAGAAATCACATAAAATGTTTTTTTCTGTAGTTCAATCCAGTGTAATTTAAAAATATTGCTAATCTTAGAAAACATTCCATTTACATTGAAAAACTTCACTATTTAAATAAATGATAGGGTATCCTATTTTCACTGAGTATTTTAAACTTTCATCTGATGAAAGCAGCATTTTTAAGTAGGTATGGCATAGTAGTGTGGTTTTAACTTCTGAGTTAGAAGCAAAGTTATGACATTTAATAACTAACATGTATTGTTTTCTTACTGTGTATTACTTCTCTAAACATTAGCTGTGTGTTACCTAATTTAATCTTTTCAACAACCCAAAGTGGTGGGTACTATATTTATCCTCATTTTACTGGTGAGAAAACTGAGTCCCAGAAGTTATTTTGTCTGGCTAGTATGCAAACTGGTAAACAGTAAAGTCCGAATTAGGACCTGGGTTCTAATTAGAAGTCTGCCTTTGTGTGTCGTATTATTAACCACTCGTCCTGCTCCTGGTGTTGATCTTCACCTGTGTAGCAAAGTGGATTTCAGTGTATTTTTTATAGTAACACGTATGATAGGATAGGATATGCAAGAAAGTTATTAAGTAGTTTCAAATGCTTAGAAAACCTGAGTTATTTCCGGTTGTTTAATGAAACCTATAAGTATGCTTTAAAAAAGGCAACTTCTAAAGGAAAACTCTGAAATGACCTTTAGTTATGGAGTGGTTGAAAATATAAGAAATATTAAAACCAATTTGTTTTTATTAATAACCTTTTGTTTTTAGTTGAGAGAAAGGAGAGATCATGAATGCCTTTTCTTAGTTACATTATTTGAGGAGATGACTAAAAGACTAGGGAAACTTGAAGATCTTATTTATGGTAATCCTAATAACAGCCACAAATAGCATGTTATTCACTGCACCAGACCCAGCTCTAAACATATTACTTATTATTACCTATGATTTAATCCTTACAAGAACTCTATGACACAAACCCTTGTTATCCCTGTTGTATAGAGTTCAGGTTTTTCAGAATGATTTTAAGGACTGGGTTGGTTTGTTTGAACTGTTAACAGTCTTTTTGTTTGCTTTGTCTTTTTCTTTTAGGAGCAGGTGATAAATGGGTAATTGGCAGGAAATATGGTCTGGTTATATATCCCCTTTCTTGTTGGGTGTACAGTGATCACACAGACTGCTGCTTACCCTTTTTTCTTGCCACAATGCACTGAACCCTATTGAGTACGCTCTGGCTTTAAAGTCTAATGATATTTCCTTTTTAGATTTCAGTTTGTTCCAAGTATTATAATCACTTCCTCTTTCATGTCTCAGCCAAATCCTCCATTTAGTATCCCATGTTTCCTGTTCATATCAAATCTTTAACTGAAGAGTTAGTTTTACCTTGTTCTATGCCTGTCGTGGTTTTTCCTGTAAGACAATAAAAATCTTTTAAATCCTTTATTATATGTGTAATATGTATATAGTGGTTGTTATACTTGGTATTATTTTTAGTGGTTGTACATGTCTTATGTATAGGAGATTAAAAGAAGTCATTTATTAAGTTTTATACTTTTTAAAATATCTATATTTGTCTTTTTTCATAGTAAGAAAAAATCTCACTGTGTTTCTTTTTCCTTCACATCTCATTGTATTTAGGTTTTGTGGCAACTGGATATATTCCGACGAAGCTTGCGGGTTCTCACTGGACATATTTGTCAGGGAGACGCCTGCATATTTTGTGCATTGAAGGTAACATTTGAGTAGTTGTGAACAATTACTGTCAATTGTTTCTCCAAACATTTGATTTTGGTAGTTGACATATTCAGTTAATTTGTCTGTAACTAGGGTTCATCTCTGAGTGATTTATAGTTTTAAAGATGAATTCATTCAGGTGTATGTTGTCATTTCCCACTTTTATATAAGTATGGTTAAAAATTCCCATTCTAGGCAGTATAAAATGGTTAGGAACATTGCAGTTTTCATTGTTTTGAAGTAATTATTCATTTTAACAAACGTTTTTCAGCTTCTGCTGAGTTTTAGGCTCTACTGTAGTTATACAGTAGTGAATAAAACTGATAAAAATCCTTGTTCTCATGTAGCGTACATTCTTATGGGGAGGAGATAAGTGTGCAAAATGCCACACACTTGTATAGAGTTCGTTAGCTACTACGAATTGTCACAGTGGGAAAGGCACCAGGGAAAGAGACTAGGGCGTGTTGAGTGGCTAGGAAGGCCTCACGGAGAAAAGGCCTGGAAAAGGGGAGAGAGTGAAGTGTAAGGCCAGGTGGTAGAAGGGCCTTCCTGGCAGACAGAAACAGCAGCTGCAAAGGTGGCAGGATACGTGAAATAGTCAAGGAACGCCAAGGAAATCTGGGCGGCAGAAGTGTCACGAGGAAGAGAGAATGGGCACAGGCAGTGAGCTCAGAGGTGAGAGGAGTCAGGGTGGGCTCTGAAACGCGTCTGCGCATTCTTCTGCTCTTCCTTCTCCGAAGTCTCATTCCTTGAATATGGACTGCCCTTAATGACTGATTTCTATCAGATAGAATGTGGCAGAACTGGCGCTGCAGGACATCTCAGGTTGGATTAGATTAGAAAAAGTGATACAGCTCCCACCAGTTCCTCTCTGGAGAAGGGCCATTCTTAGAAGTGAGCCACCACGCCGGAAGAAGCCCGGTGGCCCTGCGGCAAGGCCACACAGAGGAGCCGAGGGCTCAGCCAAGCACTAAACATGAGAGAATGACCTTCAGGTGTTTCTAGGGCCCAGCTTCCAAAATGTCCCACAGTGGAGCGGAGATACGCTGTCCCAGATTCATCATCAAAACAAGTGTGTCTTATTTTTAGTAACTAAGTTTGCGGTGGTTTGTTACTGGGCAGTAAATAACTGGAAAGGGGTTCAGATTGTATCGGGCTGCACAGGCCTTTGAGGATAATGGTTTTTTCTCTGAGTGATGTAGGGAGTTTGGGGATTGTTTTAAGAGAAGAGTGATAGAACCTGTTTTAACTGAACTATATCCTTTTGGCTGCCCTGCTGAGAAGAATAGAAGGAAGGCAAGCCGGCAGTTCCAATTCAGTGTATGTATATTAGCAACTATTTTTGTCATTGAAATCTTTCTTCCCAGAATTTAACATTTTATTAACAAGTTTTAGGGATGTTTTATTCTTTAGCATTCTTGAATATTTTTTTAAAATATTTTTTATTAAGTCATAAACGCATAGATCATGTATACATTAATGTATTTATGGGGTGCAATGCGCTGATATCATATAGAATTAGGAATGTTTACATCACACTCTTTAATATATACCTCATCATGTTTACCTAATCATTGTGTTAAGACATTTATACTGTGTACTTAATAGATCCGACATGTACCCTTGCATTATGCACCATAGGTGTGATAAAAAAGATGGAGACTTTACCTCTTATGTTTACATGGATGGAGCCGGAACTATCTCAAGGATGGAAAAAATATATCCAGTGTACTGATCACTCCACTGGAGTACTGGAGTATATCCAGTGTACTCAGTACTGTAAATTATGAAACAAATTTACAATCACTCACATTTTCATAGGAAGAATAGATCACAACTATGGCCTAGGATGAAGGAGGGGGCACAGACAGGGAGAGAGGGAGGTCAGACTGAGGGAGGATGAATGGTGGGATCACACCTGTGGTGCATACTGCAAGGGTACATGTCGTTTCTATTCTTGAATATTCTTAATAAACACACATACATAGGAAAAGAAAAAAATTATTTACATGTCTTAATTGTTTTGTATTCCTGAAAAGGCTGTTTAAAACTTAGTTACTAGAAATAAGACACATTTATTTTGCTTAGAAATCTGCGATTTGGGCAGGGACAGCAGATCTGTGCTCCATTTGGCATCACCAAAAGAAGAAATTGTATATTCTCTTTTTGAGAACATAGCAAAATAGGGTTATTGTTAGGAGATGTAGAATGAGCCCAGATCAAATTACAGTATCTCATTTCATTTACTCCACAGTAAACTTGGAATGTTTTTTCCAATTGTAAAACCTAGTATAGTTTGATCGCCTACTCCTGCTCTCCATAACCCTGCCCAGTCACCTGCCCTTGCCCTCTGCTTGCCTCCTCCCCATAAATGCCTTACACTTTAGCCAAAGGGTCCTCCATTCCTCAGAGTTGGCTCCCACTTCCAATTCCTTTCACTGTCATTCCTTTTGTCTGGAATGCTCAGATGTCCCCCTGTCTGACACCCTTATTTCCTTTGCCTCTCCTCCTGTGTTTTTTTGTTTTATTTCCCTCATCAGTGGAGTCTTCCCTGACTACCTTAGGAAAAAGGTAAGCTGCCTCTCTGCTTCTTACCCCCGGCATTCCTAATCCCCATTGGAGTGCTTTATTTTTCTCTCTGGTATTATATTTATTTTTCTCCATTGCACTTAGCACATTCTGACACATTATATAATTACTTATTTGGCTTATGCGGGCAGGGTTGTCGTCTGCTTTCTAGAGTAGAAAAATGCTTGACACAAATACTAAGGAAGCAAAAAAACATCTCTGGAATGCATGACAGTCCTATGTAGGGTTAATAATCTTAAAAATCCTTATGGAAAAAGGGGCAGTGTCTGTGGTTAAAAGGAGTAAGGTGCCAACCCCATATAACCAAGGTGGTAGGTTCAAACTTGGCCCTGGTCAAAAACTGCAAAAAAAAAAAAAAAATTAAAAAAAAAATTCTATGGAAAAGTTAATTACCTAAATGAGAGATAAAATCTGAAAAGCATTTTTCTTGCTTAGATTCAGTAAGGAAAATAGCCAACCAGATTAGCAGCTATAATCTCACATTCTTGAATGATGTTTCACAGTTTCTTAGGCCTAGATCAGACATACAGGCAGGGTATCCCTTACCGGAACTGCTCAGCAGCAAGAAATGTTATGGATTTTGAATTATTTTTATGTATTTTTTTTTCTTCTTTTAAGGATTTCAAATTTTTTTGTATTTGAAATTTTGGGGGAGGAGGCTTTTGGAATATTTGCATTTATAAATACATTCACTGGTTGAGCAGCCCAAATCAGCAATCTCATTTCTGTTAAGATCATGTTGGTGCTCAAAAAGTTTCAGATTTGGGGGGATTTTGGGTTTCAGATTTTTGAATTTGGGATACTCAACCTATAATTCCCTCAGGAATATGGATACTGGAGACAGGGAAACCTTTTCTTGCAGTTAACAGTCCTCATTATGTAGTCTCTGACTCTAGGGAAATGTACGTTTGTGTTTTTTAGAAGCCAGATATAGTATAATAGTGGGAAACTTTATTCTGTTGAAATCTAATTTTTGTTTTTAAATCAGAGTTTATGCTTTCCTGAGGTTTCCTCAAGACCCTAGTAGAAGAAACAAAAAATTATTAAATTTCCTCAGCTGGGCATGGTAGTAGCTTTTTCCTGTAAACCCAGCACTTTGGAGGTGGAGGCAAGAGGATAGCTTGAGGCCAGGAGTTCAAGACCAGCCAGGACAACAAAGCAAGACGTCATCTCTACAGAAAAAATTAGTTTCAAAATTAGCTGGACATGGCGGCTTGTATCTATAGCCCCAGCTGCTTGGGAGGCAGAAGCAGGAGGATTTTTAGCCCAGAAGATGGAGGCTGCAGTGAGCTATGATCAAGCCAACAGAGCAAGACCCTGTCTCAAAAATAAAAGTTCTTTTAGGTTACATTAACTTTATTTGTTAAAGCCTAGTGAATTCTTACCAAGTTTTATGTTTATTCTGGTTAGCACCATTTTAATTCCTATAGTATAAATTTTAGATTTACTGTAACTTAATCTCAAACTTCTGTTCTTTAAACAACCTGCATCAGAATCATCTAGGGGGGACAGTTTAAAAGTAGGCCTTATCTCAGGCTTCGTCAGTTGGAGTCTCCGAGCACAGGACCTCAGAACTGTATATGTTTAATACTTAGCTATGCTTGCTAATGTTTGATTTTGATTTAGAGGCGGCTGCAGCCATTTCCCCCTTTAAACAAAACAAATAATCGATTTCTGTATGCAATTTTAGACCCAAACATTGTTCTGTATTAGTTTCTGAGTATAGTGTTTTGAGTTTCTTCATGTTCTAGTGAAATTAAAGTTGTTGGCACTAAACTAATTGATGCACTTATTGATTCCCAGACAATATTTGCCCAGTTTCAACACAGTCGGGAAAAAGCACTTCCCTCGGATAACATAAGGCATGCTCTTGCAGAAAGCTTCAAAGACGAGCAGCGATTTCAACTTGGCCTTATGGATGACGCTGCAGAGTGCTTCGTGAGTAATTCTGATTATCCTTAAGAAGTCAGGAGAGTATTTTTTATTTCTTAGGTGATGCAACCTTGAGACAAATGACAAAAACTTTATGATAATAGAAAACCGTCAGTACGGGCTAGTGGCTCTGTGTCCTACCCATCCTTCAAGGATGGTAAGGCTGTTTTGTTTTTATTTTATTGTTTTGTAGAGATTAGATCTTAATATGTTGCCCAGGCTAGTCTCAAACTCCCAGCCTCCAGTGATCCATCTTGGCCTTGCAAAGTGCTGGGATTACAGGCGGGAGCCACTACACCCAGCCTTAAGACTCTATTTAAATCCATCTGTGTTTTGTGTTGTACTTTTGGTTTGGGTTATTTTTGTTACTGTAATTATTACCAAATATTAGGCTACTAAAATATTTTAAAATTTATTGGCGCAGAAAACATGACTACATGTAAATGATACCACCTAAATGGGTGCTCTGCCTCCATAAGGTTTGCATGAGTAACGGTTCCCAGCAGTGTTCTCTCTCATTACGTGCAGTGATTCTCAGTGGGGAGGAAGGGGATTTTGGTGGCAGTTATTAGGGGCAGCAGCTCTTTTACTCCCATTCTAGGTTGAAAGTCAGTGAGGTCGATTACCACCATATGAACGAGTAGAGCGTTTCTTTGATCAGGCATGTGCTTTATACACATTCTAAAATAGGTACATTGGTTATTAAATGTCTCAGTAGAATAGATGTCATTTACATTTGAGATGTAACCATTTTGTCTCTTGGTCCTATCTGTTCAGCAAATTCTTAAAAATTCTGTGGAAAAGTTAATTACCTAAATGAGAGATTAAAATCTGAAAAGCATTTTTCTTGCTTAAATTCAGTAAGGAAAATAGCAAACCAGATTAGCAGCTATAATCTCCTTTTAAAAAGGTTTTCTTTTCTGTCAGGGCCCAGGACTGGCCAGGTCTTGGGCCCAGCTTAGGTAGGTTCTGGACATGGACCACTAAGCTACCTTGCTCAGGAACAGTTTCTCATAGGTGCTTGAGGGCTAGCTACTTTAGCTGGAGAGAGAGAGA